GACAGAGAGAATGAGAGAGAGAGAGCACATGAGAGGGGGGAGGGTCAGAGGGAGAAGCAAGCTCCTTGCTGAGCAGGGAGCCCGATGTGGGACTCGATCCCGGGACTCCAGGATCATGACCTGAGCCGAAGGCAGTCGCTTAACCAACTGAGCCACCCAGGCACCCTACCTAGGAACCTTTTTTCCCTCTCCAATTGCCCTCTCTATAACAACTCTTACTTTATTCACATGCTTCAAGTCTCTCCCTCCCACTCTCAGCTGTTGACTTTGCCTCATACTTTATTGAGAAAATACATGCCCATCAGATAAAAATGCCCTCATCTTCCTCTGGATTTTTTTTTTTTTTAAGGGATGGTTTTATTTTTATTTATTTATTTTTAAAGATTTTTATTTATTTATTGAGAGAGAGAGAGTGATAGAGGGCATGAGAGGGGGAGAGTCAGAGGGAGAAGCAGACTCCCCGCTGAGCAGGGAGCCTGATGCGGGACTCGATCCCGGGACTCCAGGATCATGACCTGAGCCGAAGGCAGTCGCTTAAACAATTGAGCCACCCAGGCGCCCCTGGATTTTTTTTTTTTTTAATGAAAATAGCTTTGGGGTGCCCGGGTGGCTCAGGTCATGATCCCAGGGTCCTGGGATCGAGGCCCGCGTCGGGCTCCTTGCTCCACAGGAAGCCTGCTTCTCCCTCTCCCACTCCCGCTTGTGTTCCCTCTCTCGCTGTGTCTCTCTCTGTCAGATAAATAAATAAAAATCTTTAAAAAAAATAATAAAAGAAAATAGCTTCTTGGGGCACCTGGCTGGCTCAGTTGGTAGAACATGGGACTCTTGATCTTGGGGTCATGAGTTAAAGTTCCACATTGGGCATAGAGATTACTTAAAAAAACAAACAAATAAAATGACTCAAAAGATTATTTAAAAAAAAAAGTTAAAAGGGGCGCCTGGGTGGCTCAGTTGGTTAAACATCTGCCTTTGGCTCGGGACATGATCTCAGGGTCCTGGGATGGAACCCCACATCGGGCTCCACGCTCATCAGGGAGTCTGCTTCTCCCTCTCCCTCTGCCCCTCCCTATCTCTCTCTCTGTCTCAAATAAATAAATAAAATCTTTAAAAAAAAGTTAAAATTGCTTCTCTTTTCCCCCAATGATAAAAATATATGTTCATTGTAGGAAATTGAAAAACTAAAATATAAAGAAAGTAAAGATTCTCCCAGATCCCACCACTCAAAAGATAAACATTGTTAACATTTTGGTAAATACTCCCCCAGACATTTTTGTTCAAATATGCATATAATTTTACAGACGTGTATACCGTCTCTGTAAACTTTTTTTCTTCCTTTCTTCCTTTCTATGATTTGTGCCATTCATACCCAGGTGGAAACCATCCCAAGAGTTGTTTAGTCACTCAAGTCTATGTAATTACATCTTTTTGAGCAGTTGCTGACTTTTTCTTTTTCTTTTATTTTAAAGATTTTAGTTATTTATTTGAGAGGGAGAGAGAGAGTGAGCAAGAGCGCAAGAGCACAGGGGGAGGGAGAAGCAGACTCCCCGCCAAGCAGGGAGCCCGATGCGGGGCTCGATCCCAGGACCCTGGGATCATGACCTGAGCCGAAGGCAGACGCTTAACTGACTGAGCCACCCAGGCGCCCCTGACGTTTTCGTTTTTAAGCTCAATAGTAGCATATAGGCATTTCCCTCGTTTTATACCATTAGATTGTTTCCACAGCAATATCTTTAAAGGCTGTATAAGTAAGTACTCCACTGTATGGCACTGATGTACCCTAAGTTCTGTAACCGGTCCACATTTAACTAGATGAACATTTATTTATTTATTTATTTATTTATTTATTTATTTATTTATTTATTTGATGAACATTTAAGTGGTTTACAATGCTTCAGTGAACGTTTCTGTTTATCTTTGCAGATTTTCCCAATATCTTCTTTAGGAAAATTTCTAGAAGACAAATTGTTGGGTAACAGGGTACATACATGTAAGATTTTGATATATATTGTCAAACTGCCCTCCAGAAAAGGTGCAATAATTTGTACTCCTACCAACAGTGCACAGAAGTGCCTGTTTTGTGTATATTGCTAATTTGAGGTTTTGTTAATCTTTTGAACCTTTGCCAATCTGATAAATGAAAAAAATTTACCTTGTATTTTTTTTAAAAGATTTTATTTATTTATTAGAGAGAGAGAGAGCGAGCGAGCACAAGCAGTGGGAGTGGCAGGCAGAGGGAGAAGCAAGCTCCTCGCTGAGCAAGGAGCCCGATGCGGGACTTGATCCCAGGACCCTGGGATTGTGACCTGAGCCAAAGGCAGACGCTTAACCGACTGAGTCACCCAGGCATCCTAAATTTACCTTGTATTAATTTTCATTTCTTTGATTGTTGGAGGGGTTGAATATCTTCTCATATATTATTGGCCATTTATATTTCTTCCTGTGTAAATGTCCTTTGCTAATTTATTTGCTAGAGTATTTGTCTTTTTTATTGTAGGAACTCTTTTTTTTTTTAAGAGCTCTTTTTATGTTAGATATGTTAACTCTTAAAAAAAAAGATGTTAATTCTTTATCAGTTACATATGTTGAAAAAAATCTTTCTCCAGTCTGTGGTTTATCTTTCAACCTTGCTTATAGTGCCATTCAGAAGATATTAATTTTTACGTTGTAAAACTCAGTATTTTCCCTTTATAATTCTGGTTTTCGGATGATGTTTACATCTTGCCATTGTGTTTATAAAATATCCACGCATAATTTCTTTGAGAAATTTTCTGATTCAATTTAATCTTTGATTAATCCCATATTTATTTTTGTATATGAAGTGAGGCAGGGGTCTAATTTTACTTTTTAAAATGGCTATGCAGGGGCGCCTGGGTGGCTCAGTCGGTTAAGCTCCTGCCTTCAGCTCAAGTCATGATCTCAGGGTCCTGGGATGGAGCCCGACATCTGGCTCTCTGCTCAGCCGAGAGTCTGTTTCTCCTCCTCTCCCTCTGTGCTCTCCCTTTCTCTCAAATAAATAAATAAAAATCTAAAAAAAATGGCTATGCAGTTGCTTCAATACTTTTTCTTGAATAACTCTTCCTTGCTGACTTGAATCATTTCCATATATATATATGGATTTGTTTCTGGACTCTTATTTTGTTCCATTTATCTGTCTGCACTATCACCATAAAATTATTTTAAGATTTTATTTATTTATTTATTTATTTATTTTTTAAAAGATTTTATTTTATTTATTTGAGAGAGAGAATGAGAGAGAGAGAGAGCATGAGAGGGGGAGGGTCAGAGGGAGAAGCAGACTCCCCGCCGAGCAGGGAGCCTGATGCGGGACTCGATCCCGGGACTCCAGGATCATGACCTGAGCCGAAGGCAGTCGCTTAACCAACTGAGCCACCCAGGCGCCCAAGATTTTATTTATTTATTTGACAGAGAGAGAGACAGCGAGAGGGGGAACACAAGTAGGGGGAGTGGGAGAGGGAGAAGCAGGCTCCCGCTGAGCAGGGAGCCCCATGCGGGGCTTGATCCCAGGACCTGAGCCGAAGGCAGATGCTTAACGACTGAGTCACCCAGGCCCCCCTACCATAAATTTTATTTACAGTAGTTTTAATACCTGGTAAAGCAAGCCCCTCTCCCTTACTCCATTATCCCTTGCGTTTTTAGAATTTTCTTGGCTATAAAATTGCATATTTTTTCTGAAAGTGTTTTTCTTTTTTTTATTAACAAGGTGTAATGCTACCTTATTAACTAATTTGCATTCTTTTTTTTTCTTTTAAGATTTTATTTATTTATTTATTGAGAGAGAGAGAATGAGAAACAGAGAGCATGAGAGGGAGGAGGGTCAGAGGGAGAAGCAGACTCCCTGCTGAGCAGGGAGCCTGATGCGGGACTCGATCCCGGGACTCCAGGATCATGACCTGAGCCGAAGGCAGTCGCTTAACCAACTGAGCCACCCAGGCGCCCCTAACTAATTTGCATTCTTGGTTGCTTACTCTCTTTTAACTCACTCTATTAATGAGAGTCTTTTTAAAAAAGATTTTATTTATTAGAGAGAGAGGTGGGGAGGGGAAGAGGGAGAGGGAGAGAATCTCAAGCTGACTCTGCACTGAGGGCAGAGCCTGGTGCAGGGCTGGATCTCCTGACCCTGAGATCACAACCCTGAGATCATGACCTGAGCTGAAACCAAAAGTTGGATGCTCAACAGACTGAGCCATATTAATGAGAGTTTTAATAAGCTCTCCTTAGAGTCCAAGCTGTTCACCCGCTGCCTTATGTGCTTATCTCTTTCACCATTTCTGCATTAATTTGTTAAAGAGCAGGAGAATAAAATTTGTAGTTTATGCCAGGGTAAGGGAAGAAAATCTACAGCCTGTTGAGTGCCATTTAATGGCATTTTACTAGTCATTCTTGCATATCCTCCTCAATATGCACCTGCTTCCTTTATTATTTCCTTTCTTCTTCTTTCTTTTACTTTATTTCCTGTCTCTTAATTCTTCCTTACTGGTAACATCCAGGGAGCCTATCTAGAATGAAAACAAAAACACTGGAGAAACCCATACAATGACATAAGGGGTTTCACCCTTTCTGCATATTTTATATTCATACTTTATTTTTTATTCACTTTTATTTTTTATTTCACCTTTTCTGCATATTTTGATATTTTTATTCAATACAATGGTAACAGTTCAGTAGCCCTGAATTTGGAAGCATATTTATAGTCAGTATTAATCAATGGAGTCATTTGATTCTTGTTTGCCTTATATAATCTTGGATAATATCATAGCCATCCCACTACAGATATATTTTTTAAAGATTTTATTCATTTATTTATTTAAATTTTGTTTATTTATTTGAGAGAGAGGGAGAGTGTGAGAAGGGGGAGGGCCAGAGGGAGAAGCAGACTCCCTGCTGAGCAGGGAGCCCGATGTGGGACAACATCCCAGAGGGCCTCCAGGATCATGACCTGAGCCGAAGGCAGTCACTCACCAACTGAGCCACCCAGGCGCCCGACAGACATTTTTTTAAAGTAATCTGTACACCTAACTCAGGGTTTGAGCTCACAATCCCAAGATGGAGAATCACATACTCTAGTGACTGAGCTAGCCAGGCACGCCTGTTAGAGACATTATTAATCACTAAGATTTCTACGATGTATGGGAAAGGACCACCCTGGGCTAGAGATCCAAGGTCTAATTTTCGCCCTGTTCCCTGTTCATTTAAGAACAAAGAAGTTAAGGTAGAGCCAGGGGCCTGGGTGGGATGATGGAAGTTGGGAGCCCTTGGTTTGCCAACGAGGAAATGGGGAATAATGGAAACTAGCATTTGTTACCTATTATATGCCAGCTAGCATTCTAGATGCTTTACATATACTACTCTTCTATTGAACCGGAAGCTTAGAACTACTTTTAGTTCCATTTTATAGATGACAAACTAGAGACAATGAGATTATAAGTAGCTAGCACATAGTATATGGTTCATAAGGATTTAGTCAACTATGAGATATTCTACCGCTCTTTTCCACCAACTTCTTTCCCTAATTGAGCAGTCTAGGATTGTAAAATGAATACCAAATTGCAGGATGCAAAAGACGAGGCGTTAATAGCAGTACTTACCCTGTTTTGCCTTTTTTCTTCACTGTACTATGTGATCTAGATGCAGAAAATTTTGAAGAGGGAAAAGAAACTATGTTTAGAAACCCCATCTTTTCCATGATAGGTAATGACTGACTCTGAGGCGGTCAGGGGCAGGAGGAAACTCTCTTAATGTTCCCAGAATTGAAGCCACAATCTCTTTAGTATATGTGCTGCCGAAGCGAGCACAGAAGCCACAATCTCTTTTATCTTGCTGGCCAGCTTCACATCTGGCTTGACTGTGGTGCACAAGACTTAAAAGAGGGCTATGTGAGGCAAGAGGTGGGAGGCTTGTTAATGTTTTGATTTGGGGTTTTCCCTCCAAGTTTGGAGTCATCATGCCTTAACACTGCTGTCTCTGAACAGAGATTTCAGGCAAAGGCCAACGCTTTGGTTGCACGCATCACCCGTACATTTAGCTGGTACCAAACATGTTTACATATATATTCCACCGTCATCCCTAAAACCATTTGTCTGGAGATGGATGGGGCTGCCGCCCTTACTGCGAACCTGCAGGGGAGTCATTAGATAGTTTCCTTCAGATTTGACAAGGGCTGGGCAGCAGAAACGTGTCTTGGAACTACAGGGTTTTCCATTCCTCTCAACTTCTGATACTTCTTTTTAAGATTTTATTTATTTATTTGACAGACAAAGCGAGAGAAGGAACACAAGCAGGGGGAGAGGCAGAGGCAGAGTGAGAAGCAGGCTCCCCGCTGTGCGGGGAGCCCGATGCGGGACTCGATCCCAGGATTCCGGGATCATGACCTGAGCCGAAGGCAGAAGCTTAATGACTGAGCCACCCAGGCGCCCCTCAACTTCTGATATTTCTGACCTTTGCCTCTCTTGAATAACCAGTGGGCAATATTGTATATTTTCCTTCCTTCCTTCCTCCGTTTTCACCCCCATTCCTCCCTCTCTTCTCCCCCTCTCTATTTCCGCTCCCTCCCTCTCTCTCTCTTTCCGCTCCGTCATTCTCTCCCTTTTCTCCCCCCCCCAGGCCTGTTCTCTGCTTGCCTGTAACCCTGGCCATCTGCACCCCTCTCAGTAACTGTAGTATGCTTTCAGTATTGCACCGTATTTCCTTATGCTCTGTGATTCTTACCCCGTACTTCTAAGCTGCAACCCCAGGACTTAAGGCCTAGACGGCGCTCCGCAAGCCCGCGTCCTCGCGTCCCCGCGTCCCCGTGTGCCCCGTGCCCCGACGACGCTTACGCTCGGGGAGAGGATAAAGGCCAATTGGGCGTGGCCGTTGGTGACGTCACAACGGGGGGCGGTGCCTTCTGAGCGTCGACGGGCACCGTAGACGGAGTTCGTGGAGAGGGAACCGCGGCGATCGCGGTGTCCGCGGAGGTTCGTGATCCTGCCTCGGCGGAGGTAGGACGGGCCAAAGGTGGGTCAGCCACAGGTTAGTTGAGTGGTTTATGCCTAGCGAGAAGATGTGGCCATTAGTTTAATACTTTTTAGGGAGTCCGCGAGGCAAAGGTTTTGAACTACAGAGCTGCGGTAGCTGACTCTCAGGTGAAGGAAAATGGGCGAAAGCAGAGGGGTTTTTTTTGACTTGGATGAAGGATGGGGAGCGGTGTGTGGCCACCGAAAGCGGGAGATAGAAGTTTGGATGTGAACGACCAAAATTCCGTTGAAGCCGGACCGTTGATGATTGTTGGGGGTGGGGAGCTGAAGGCGCTAGCGGATCTGCGAGAGTGGGAAAAACGACAGCGAGTGATTGGATATTTTGAACGTATGGGCGGTGACGTGGGGAGATTTTGAGCCAATTAGGAGGAGGCATCGAGTACCAGCCAGACCAATCACGGGGTACCTCGAGCCCTGGTTTCCCTGTTGTGGGGCGGATTATGGTAAGAAACGACCGCGTGGAAATTTACTCCAGGCCTGGTTCTTGGCATGCGACAGCCAGGCCCTGCCCCTCATTAACTGCTTTTTCTGAGTTTTAAAACTTCTAAAGCATTTTTTCCCCTTCGGATAACAAGGAACTGGAAAATTTGTAAAGAAATTTTATTGAGAGACTGGAGGATAAAGGACAGAGTATTAAAATATTTTCTTATTTCATAGGCCTGAACCAGAGATTTCAAAATGGACAATACTGATTTTCGTTCCATGGATTTTAAAGGTATATAGCTTTACATGGTAATAAAAATGTCAGGTTGGTTGTTGCCTTATCTAAGATCTAAATGTATTTTGTTTCTGAATTTTATCTCTTTGGTCCAAATTTTCTCATTTATATACCAGAAAAACAACATAGATGTTTAAGACACTGGAACCCTTTTAGAAGCTTGTAAAGGAAACAGAATTCACAATTCATCTCTTGTTTTCTGAGGATTCTTGTGGCATGCAAAATAACACTGGTTTAATCTGAATTAGGGATCAACTACTTAAAAAAAAGTACATTAAAAAAATTACTGCAAGATCCCGAAGTGCCTTGCCATAATTATCAGTGAGAAATAAATTATATCCTGTGTAGTTTTAGATTTAAGTGCATTTTATTGTATCTTAATTATTTTAAGAACTGGTAATCCATGTATGGTATTTATGGGAAATCTTAATTAACAAAAGCAATTTAATTGACCAGAACACCAGATTCCTCAACCATGCCAGACATGGAAGAGTTTATGGTATTTCTTTTTTTCTGGGGACATGATTAGACCTGTAGTGCAGTTACATTCACATTCATATAATAATGAAATGTGTTGTAAGCAGGGTGGCTACAAATCTATTAGGTCAATGTTTTGTTAATGCTTGTCATTTAAAAATTACAGTTTAAGTTTTTTTTTTAAGCCTGAAGTTTTTTAAAAAAACTTTATTTATTTATTTATTTTTAAAGATTTTATTTATTTATTTGAGAGAGAGAGAGAATGAGAGAGAGCACATGAGAGGGGGGAGGGTCAGAGGGAGAAGCAGACTCCCCGCCGAGCAGGGAGCCCGATGCGGGACTCGATCCCGGGACTCCAGGATCATGACCTGAGCCGAAGGCAGTCGCTCAACCAACTGAGCCACCCAGGCGCCCTAAAAAACTTTATTTTTTATTTTTATTTTTATTTATTTATTTTAAAGATTTTATTTATTTATTTGACAGAGAGAGAGAGCGCACAAGCAGGGGGAGCAGCAGGCAGAGGGAGAGGGAGAAGCAGTCTCTCCGCTGAGCAGGGACCCCGATGTGGGACTCGATCCCAGGACTCTGGGATCATGACCTGAGCTGAAAGCAGACACTTAACTGACTGAGCCACCCAGGCGCCCTGATTTTTATTTTTTGAGTAAACTCTATCCCAAACTTGGGGCTCGAATTCAAAATCCCAGGATCAAATCATATGATCTACTGACTGAGCCGGCTAGGCACCCCCAAAGCCTTAAGTTTTAATTTAGGATATAGTAGCTTTCTTATTTATTTCTTTATATTTATATTATTTTATATTAATTTTATTTTTTAAATAATCTCTGTATCCATCGTAGGGCTCAAACCCACAACCCTGAGTTCAAGAATTGCATGCTCCAGGGCGCCTGGGTGGCTCAGTTGGTTAAGGCGACTGCCTTCGGCTCAGGTCATGATCCTGGAGTCCCGGGATCGAGTCCCGCATCGGGCTCCCTGCTCGGCAGGGAGCCTGCTTCTCCCTCTGACCCTCCCCCCTCTCGTGTGCTCTCTCTCATTCTCTCTCTATCTCAAATAAATAAAATCTTTAAAAAAAAAAATTGCATGCTCCACTGACTAAGCCAGCCAGGCACCCAAAGGATATAGTATCTTAAAGGATATAAACATGGAATAGGCATTATGACTTTTAAGTACAGTTGACCTTCAAAAAACACAGGTTTGAACTGCTCAGGTCCACTTACATGCAGGTTTTTTACAGTGTGATATTGTAAATATTTCTCCTTATGATTTTCTTGACATTTGATTTTCCCTAGCTTACTTTATTATAAGAATACAGTATATAATACACATAACATGCAAAATATGTGTTAATTGACTGTTACTGGTAAGTCTTCTGGTCAACCGTAGGCTATTAGTAGTTAAGTGTTTGGAGAGTCAAATTCATAGGTGGATTTTCAAATGTGCAGGGGTCAGTGCCCCTAACCCCCCGTGTTGTTCAGGGGTCAGTTGTGCATGGTATTTGAGATCTCGTATTTACGTAAATATTTGAAGCACACAGAAAAGTATACGGAGTAAGATAATGATATATTATCTGTTTACCACTAACTTTTGCTGAATCTTAACAGTTTGCCATATGCTTCAGATAGGTCATTGTTTCAGAGAACTAAAAGATTACATGTGCCAGTTTTTCATCTTTTAAAATTTTACATAAATTTGTATCATTTTGTATGATTTTTTTCTGCAGCTTGTCTTTTTTTGCTCAGTATTGTGTTTTCCATATTTACCCATATGGATATTTTAGTTCTAGTTCATTTGTTTCCACGGCTGATTAGTACTATTACTTTGAATATGTCTCTCTCTCTCAAATAAATAAAATCTTAAAAAAAAATATCTCTCTTTCTCTCTTAAAATAAATAAACCAAATCCTTTAAAAAGGGGGGATGCCTGGGTGGCTCAGTTGGTTAAGTGTCTGCCTTCAGCTCAGGTCATGGTCCCGGGGTTCTGGGATTGAGCCCCGTGTTGGGCTTCCTGCTCAGCGGGAAGCCTGTTCTCCCTCTCCCTCTGCAGCTCCCCCTGCTTGTGCTCTCTCACTCTCTTTCTCAAATAAATAAAGTCTTTACTTTGAATATAAGTATACCACAATTTATTTATCTAATCTCCTTTGTTGGCTCTATGAGTTGTTTTCAAATATTTGCTATTACAGACGACAGCACTACAGTGGACATTGTGTTGCAGAGAGTTTAGGAGGAGTTTTCTTTTTCCTTTTTCTTGTTGTTTTTTTTTTTAAAGTAATCTCTATGCCCGATGTGGGACTCAAACTCACGACCCAACATCAAGAGTCATATGCTCTATAGACCTAGCCAGCCAGGTGCCCCTAGCAGGAGTTTTCAAACATTTTTGGCCACCACCCATGGCAAGGAGATATATTTTACATCACATCTACACAGTGTATCAAAAGTTTAATGAAATAACCCTTCCTACATGCAGTACACTATGACATTTTTTAATTTAAATTCAATTAATTAACATATAATGTATTATTTGTTTCAGGGGTACAGGTCTGTGATTCATCAGTCTTACATAATACCCAGTGCTCATTATTAATACAGGGCCTCCCCAATGTCCGTCACCCAGTTACCCCATCCCCCACCCCCCTCCTCTCCAACACTATGATATTTTCTATTCTGTGCTTTTTCATTAAAAAATGTTGGTTATGACCCACTAAATTTATTTACTTCTTGAGCACTTGTGGGTGAGGCTCTAGTACAGTGCTGTCTGATTGAAACAGTGCAAACACAATTTTATATTTTTTAGTAGCCACATTAAAAAAAGGCTGAATAGAGTAAATTTTAACAATACAAATTATAGGGGCACCTGTCTGGCTCAGTCAGAAGAGCATGCGGCTCTTGATCTTGGGGTTGTGAGTTTGAGCCCCATGTAGGGTGTAGAGATTATGTAAATAAATAAACTAAAAAACCAATACAAATTATATAGCTCAATATATCTAAAATGTTATCATTTCATCATATGATCAATATAAAAATTATTAGCAAGATATTTTATGTTCTTTTTTTTGTACAAAGTCTTTGAAGTCAGGTATGTATTTTATACTTAAAAACATACCTCATTTTTGACTTGCCTCATTCCAAGTTCTCAGTAGTCACATGGGGCTAGTAGCTACCCTATATAATGGCAGTGCTGTTCTAGGGAATACATTTAGGAGTGGAGCTTCTGGGTCAAAAGCTATGAGCATCTTTAACTTTATAAATATTGCCAAATTGCTGTTGAGTGGTTTTAATAATTTGTACTCCCTCTCCCTTTCTCTTTTCCCTATATTCTTGCTAAGAATTGGTATTGTCAGACTTAAAAGAATTTGCAGGTGTGTGGGCGCCTGGGCGGCTCAGTTGGTTAAGCGACTGCCTTCGGCTCAGGTCATGATCCTGGAGTCCCGGGATCGAGTCCCGCATTGGGCTCCCTGCTCGGCGGGGAGCCTGCTTCTCCCTCTGATCCTCCCCCCTCTCATGTGCTCTCTCTCTCTCATTCTCTCTGTCTCAAATAAATAAATAAAATCCTTAAAAAAAAAATTGCAGGTGTGAAGAGTGTTGTTGTTGTTGTTTTTTTAAAGATTTTATTTATTTATTTGACAGAGAGAGAGTGAGCACAAGTAGGCAGAGCAGCGGGCAGAGGGAGAGGGAGAAGCAGGCTTCCCGCTGAGCAGGGAGCCCGACGCGGGGCTCGATCCCAGGACCCTGGGATCATGACCTGAGCCGAAGGCAGACGCTTAACAACTGAGCCACCCAGACACCCCAAGTGGTGTTGTTTTTAATTACCGTTTTATTTTGGAATACTTTTAGATTTACAGAAATAGTGCAGAGTTCCCATATTACCCCCAGACAGTTTCATTTTCATTTATGTTATCATCTTCCATGAGCATTGTTTGAATTTCCATTTCCCTGATAACTAGTGAAGTTAGGTGTATTTTCATAGATTTATTGGCCATTTGTGTTTTCTCTTCTGTACATGTAACCTTTTCAGTCAAGTTTTGTAAAAATGAACCACAGAAAACCATGTGGCAGCTCTAGGTCATTTTCTTCTTAGGGAGAATTGACATAACATCCATCTTTTTGTATCAACAGTTCAGACAATTTCAAGACCAAGAAGAAATTGGTCTAAGTTATACCCGTTGGGGCTAAATAAGTGTAACTCCTTTTCTGTATGCCAGATCTTCAACTATTTGAAGATATTTATGTCCCCTGGGAAGTCTCTTCTTCAGATTAAGCATTTTCAGTTCGTTCAGTCATTCCTCATGTTTCATGGTTTCTAGTCACCTTATCATCTTGTGTGCTGTCCTCTGAAAATTCTGTTTTTTCATGTTATTCCTTAAAGTGCGGTACCCATAGCAACACAATATTTTAGGTTTTATATGATCAGCACAAAATAATCCTCTTTAGATTTAGGAGTGATCATCATTCTCTTAGATACTGATGTAGTTAAGATTGAATTTTTTTTCTTTTTTGGGGTGAGGC